TATATATATATATATAATATGTTCCATAAGGCCATAATAAATAATTTTATTACGAGAAAAAACCTAATATATATATTTAGCTTAGAATTTATAAATATTTTCAAATTTAATTGCACGAACAAAAGGAAAAGTTATACAAAAATATCTTAAAAATAAAAAGAATTACGATCTATGCGAATTGAGATCTCTCTATAAATTATTTATTATCTCCATAAATTATTTATTATCTCTATTAATATATTGAAATATACATTAATAATATATCAAAATAATTAATAATATATCAAAATATAAATATATATTAAATTATTAGTATTGAATATTATTGTTGATATATTAAAATATATTAATAATATTAGTATTACTAATCAGGGAAGATATAATGATATGATATTAATGTGATAGTACAGATGATAATTGGTTGCAAATATGCAAATATATTTAAACATGGCTGCAAGGATTTAATAAGATCTGACACACGAGTGAATCGTCATTCAAAAAATCGTATCGTTAAAAAGAAAAAGAGATAGCAAAAAACGCAGAAAGAGGACGGCTATTACTGTCTCTCCATTACTAGGACTTCCAAAACATTCGCGTTACTAAGACTTTTTAAATTCCGCTCGAGCATATACAAGGCCGAAATTGTTTTCATAGAAGGTAGTAGTGGATACGAATAGCTGACGTTAGATTTAACTACAGTTTCAATCTAATTCACTTCTTAGTATCGCAAAGACGTAAGATTCGCAAGGCGCCCTTTATCAGCGGCGACGAAGGTAATTCCAGAAATTAGTCAATCGCGTGCGGTTTCTGAACCGCGCTATTAGTATATTTGCTAATCTCGGAAAGACAGGACGTCCTCTGGACACGGCCTACAGTGGATTGTTTTCGAATCATTCGACAACAATCGAGATCGGCGAATCTCGCTCGCGAAGTCTAGACTTTTTCTGAAATTCTACTCTTTTTTTTTTTTTTGGAACACTATCTCTAGGTAGGTCCGCACGACTGACCCAAAGCGGCACTCATCTTTCACTTATTATACTGGGTGACCCGCAATAAGATATGTTGATATTTTGGGCGGCATCAGAATCACTTTGCGTCAAAGAGTTGAAATAAATGAATCGATTCTAAAATGGTAATGTAACAATAACATAATCTTAAATTTATTTTAAGATTATATTATTATTATAGTTGTGTTATTATACAATAATAATTTATACGCAATCTTTAAAAAGTATAATTTAAAATTATATTATTATAAATCGAATATGTATTTGAGCTTTTTGGCTAGAGTGAATCAGAGAACCTACGATTGAGATAATGAAATCTTATTGCGAGGCATCGTATAGAGATATCTTGCTCTTGCCTATAAAGTGTCCCAAACACATCACAGATATACTTGCAAAAGTCATAGATTCCAATACACTTAAAAATATATTTTAACAAGAATTTGAAAGTATTATCTTAATTTATTAATAATTAATAATATTAAATATTTTATGAATTAAACTTTCAAAATAAATATCTCTTAATTTAAAAAAGTTAAAATTAATCGAGAAATTTTACGAGACCCTGGGCATATGGGACACTTTAAATAAATTAAGAATTAAATACTAAAATTTTAACATTATTGTTAGTAGGTTGTAAACCGGTCGATCGACCGCATATACAAAATATAAATAAACTATATTATTTGTTCAACCGTTTATCTTCATACTTCTCAAAGCGCAAAGTTATTGTTATTTGCAAATTACTTTTATATATTTTAAGATGTTCTTATATATAAATATATATAATCGACACCGCACTCTTTGTTATAAGATACAAAATATTTTGAAAGTTTTTTCTCAGCTATAAAGAAATTATTGAGGAATTATTTAAGATTGTGGGTTCTTAGATTTATATATTAATGACTTTAGTGCAACAAAATTATTTATTATATTTAGCATTTGTTTCAAGACATAGAACGTCCTTCTAACCACTTAAGTCTCAGTTTTTCTTGAATAATATCACGATTCAGTTTTTTTGGATCATTTACAAAGTTTACTGTAGCTTCTTCGCGAGCAGGCTCTACTTTTGGTACAATAGAAAACGTGCCATTTTCATGTAAATACGTGCCATTTAGATCGTCTGCAGTTGGCAGTTTATCAGGTAACTTTATAGGAAGGATCTTTACCAGATGTTTTACCTTCCAGAGCAAAGCACAAATGTCTGGTGTGTTTTTGACGATCATTGGAGCATTGAAGTGTTTCTGTAAAAGTGACGATTAAGCAAATAAAAGTTTGTCAAATGCTAGCACGCTATCACACTATCCTTTATAGACTATAGCTACAATTACCTTGTCCTCAAAACCGATATCTTTCAATATTTTTTTCTCCCACCAAGGATTACCTGCGAAAGGTTTTACTCGTTTCACAAATAAAAGTTTGCTCGGCTCAAATGGTGGATCAACCTGATTTGGATATCTATAAATATGTATTTCTGAATATTTCAATCAATAATTATAATTATAAGATGTATTATTATCACATATAAAAGTCCACTGCCTTAATTCTTTCAGTTTCATATAAAAGCAATATATACTATAAATTTTTAAATTTTCTCTATTTATCTTTAGTTACATAAAAATGTTCGAAATTATATTGAAGACTAAACTTAGGATATATATTGTGTTCAATGTGTCAAAAATTAATTTACAATTCAATATTGATCTATAATTTGCTTGCACACAATTTATAAATATTACTTATATACAATAAATATATCATTTTTCATAAATTTTGATCGGCAAAAATGTTCCTGTCAAAGAATTAACGGGTATATCTTGTAATAATCTCACTTACCTAGGAAAGTATTTAACATTCCCATATTTTACACCCTCTAGTTTACCCTCCTTATCTTTCCATTTTATTTGTCGTCTTATTTCTTGCGAGTAATAACGTACAAAATTAAAGAAAACTGTTGCCCGAGATGTCATGTTGTAATCACAAGTTACAAATAAATCTTACGTAAAAGCAGACGTAACTTGTATAGGTTAGATCAAGCTTGCTTTTTAACACGTACAAATCAATAACAAATCTGCATCACCACATTGCCAACGATTACAATTATCCTAATAAATTTCTACGATTATTTATATAGACTCTCTCTCTCTTTCGAGCTCTTCCTTTTATTTATGAATTATAATATCGCACAAAATATATACGTGATCATATGTGATCACTATATCAGCTCTTTCGTTACTTTACATATGCCGTTGCGTAAACGAGCGACGCCATGTATTAATAGCAAAACTTTATATACAGAATCTATTTTATCGTCTACAGATAAAATTGACAGATCATCATCAGAGCAAAATAATGCATGCGTAGATTGACGAAAACAAATAAGTGCAACAATTATGCGAATACAATGACAGAATTTACTCACCAGTCGATGTGCCGATGTAAATGAGTTTCCGCTGTCTCTGTTAATTCTTGCATCCCATTCTCGTGGCTTGTCCGTTGCTCTGGACATTCACTCGCGTGAGTCGATCACGAAAAGAAAAGCGCGGCTAATTACTCGCGCGGGCACTAATTACGATCGCCCGTTACTTTACACGACGTTTATTGCATGCGCGACGCGTTTCGGACGAATATAAATCATGGCGAACGCAGCTGATGAATATAAATTCGAGCGAAAAATTTTTGGCGGTAATTTTTCTCGCGTGTTTGAACGTTCATAAGATCGATGAGAACTTAATTGCACACAGGTACCTTAATCCATAAATCCGCTCGATGTTCTCGCGCGTCGTGCGATTCCCACGGGCGGATGAAAGCGTTTTGATGAATGAAACGTCGCTTAGTTATTGCTGTCAATCGCATTGACTGACATTTCACGGCGATGCATCGACGCCCCATGCGATGGTTTTCGATATTCGATCGTATGTGAGATTCACTCCCGATGAAATAATTAACGCGAAAGGAAAACGTGCAGCGAGACGCAACACTTCGCTCCGAATTGTCTGGAAACACCGCGTGAAATTAACTGACTACGTGAGTCGTGAAGTATGTGACTACGTGAGTGGAAAGTGTGATGCGGTTCGAATTTGAATCGCCACTATAATATGATTAATATAGTTCAATACTTTAAATGTAATAATTTATGTTTTAAATACAATTTAGGCTTTAATGCAATTAATATCTAATCATATTAATATTTTAATCTTGCTTATATGCTCAAATATGTGAGAATAATTATATAATTACTAGTAATAATTACTAGTAATAATTACTAGAAATAATTACTAGTAATAATTACTAGTAATAATTATTAGTAATAATTACTAGTAATAATATTTATTACTAGTAATAATTACTAGTAATAATATTTCCAAGAGATTAAAAGAGCTGTCGTATATTATATCATACGTATATATAAAATACGAATATATTAATGCTGAAGCAAGTGTAGAAAAGAATATAATTTATTGTTACTAGAAGCGTCGCCAATGAACCATGGCGAGATCGCTCCGCATTTTTCCGCGACGAGAGTGAATTCAGCACGCATACGAGCAGCAAATATATCGAATAAAAGGACGAGCAAGTACCGGATGAGTAGATTCTCCAATTGATCGAAGTATATCGACGTGTTCATCAGTTCGTTCTTCGACTGATTCGCTTAACGGCTCATGAAGTTGCCATCCGATATTTCGAATCTTTCCTTGAGTACGTGACTACGTGAGTAAATAGAAAATACTAGGGTACATGATGCGTCTCGAATTCGAATCGCTACTACTGCGATATACACGAACATGATGTATTATTAATCAGATAATTAGAGTAGCTCAATACTTTGCTCGTATAATAATTTATGCTTCAAAACAATTAATATCTAATAACTCGTAATCGTGTTAATATTTTAATCATAATACTCATATTACAATATTATTGCGAAGAGCCTGAAAGAGTTGGTATATTATAGTATATGATAAAATATATATATATATATATACAAATATTTTAATATTAGAGAAAGTGTACAGAACGATAACAATAGTTTTTTTGCTACTCGATTCCTCTTTCGTCGCCGCCGGCGTTGATTTATGTTTTTGTTTTGATTCTGGCGGTGATTCAACCGCGTGACGTGTCACATCACATCGAAGTCTCGTAATCAGCGGACCACGGCAAGATCGCTCCGCGTTTTCGCGCGTTTTTCCGCGACAAGTGTGAATTCCGCACGTGTACGAGCGGCAGGTATGTCGAATGAAAGGACGAGCGAGTGCCGGATGAGTAGATTCTCGAATTGATCGAAGTATTGACGAAGTATTGTCAATCGTCGTTTCGTTCTTCGACGCATTTTCGCGATTTGCTTAGCGGCTCCTGAAGTTGCCGCCGTATCCTGTGTCGGAAAACGGCAGGGGTAATCGTTCTTACATGCTCATCTTGACGAATTGCGTTTACAATATGTCTCGAAAGTGCCGATTGATTAGCGCGTGCGATCGACAAACATCTACGATCTTTTTCTGATTAATTCTATATCTCTGCGAGCGAATATCCCGAAAGAAATGAAGCAACTGGCAAAGATGCAATAATGACTGTGTACATTAACTATGGTGAGCAAATTTGTTTATATATAATATATTCTATTAAATATTATATATATATATATTATAATATTATATCTTTTTACATTGTTAATGTAATATAAAAGTTATGATAATGATGTTTATGTTATTATTATGCCATTTTCACAAAAAAATATGATAATTATTTTTACGTTATATAATTTCATCCGCGCATAAGATATTATTTAATCATTATTTTAATATTTTACTGTTATGTATATGTAATAGGTATGTACTTTCAACATGGGTCCGTGCAATTTCAATCGAATAAAAACTCTTGGAGCAGCAATGGCCGTCAGCCAGCTCTTTTCGCGAAGAAAACAACTTTGGTAGTTGGGGAGAAAAGAGATGCGAAATATCCCACAGCGGTAAGTCCGACTTGAGTTTGAAAGTTTCTCATGGAAACTCATTTCCGCGCGAGGGCGATGGAACCCGCCTAAGGGGTTCGCAGCTTTGGCGAAAAATAAGAGAGAGAAAGAGAAAGAGAAGGAAAAAAATTTTACGCGCGCGAAAAACGAGCGCATCTGCATTTCGTAGCGTGTCTTAATGAACTGTGTATATGTATATCGTATATGAGAGAAACATAAGTGCAAAGTTTTTATTTTGTAATTTCTTTTCGCAATATTTTACATATTATTTTTACGTATATGAAGTACGACAGATATATAAAATATAATTTGTGGGCAAACCTATAGAGAGAGAGAGAGAGAGAGATTTCTTGATTTTGTACTTTGTAAAATTACTATGTTTCTATTTCTTTTATTGTTTGTTTTAAAATATCTCTGTATTAACTAAAGATTTCTTAAAATATCTTAACTTCAATAAGATAAAGAGTATTATCCTTTTTTAAGGAATAACTGTTTCCTCTCTACTGCCAAGACAAATAAAACGATAACTTTGTCATCGTAAGGCTATGATAATATTGCTTTAAAAATTCCTGCTTCCATTTTAAATCCATTTTAGTGTATGTACAAGAATATAAAAAAAATTTCTCATCACTCATCCTGAGAAAGGCAACTATTTTTATTTGTCTTTCCTTTATCGGAAATATCATTTTACTTTTCAGCGTACACAGATAAGTGAAAAGACGGTCTTGACATCACAAATTACGATATTGCTTTAAGAATTCCTAATTGGATCCTCGAACTATTTTAGTTTCAATACAAGAATACATGACATATTTTTTATCTCTGGGAATGTAACTATAATTTTCATTTATATCTCTCTTCTATTGAAGACACAATATTACAATTTCTGTGTAAGATCCTCAGAGGGGATCAAATTTTTTCGCTTCTCTATCTTTTTCTCTCTCGTTATTAATATTAAAAGTTTCTTTTATATTTTGTGGGATGCTACTCAAAACTCTAAATAAAAAACCGGAATTACAAAAAAATTTACCTTCAAAATATTTAAAATTAATTTAAAATATATACTTGTATATAAAATTTAATATTTTTGTATATATATATGTTGTAGTATATGAAATATTTCGCAGGGAATTATTAA